TGGTATATTGCTGGAAAGTGCTTCCATGGAAGAATTGTTCAAGAACTGCCTTGGGGTCTTTATTAAAACCAGTTAGAAAGTTGATATATTTCCTTAATTATTACCAACGTCAAGGTCTTCTTAGGAGGGCGGTCTATTAATTTTCATGTGTGATTCGTGCAAACTCTCTGCCACTGAATACATCGAGCAGATCTCTAGATTTTAGAAGCATTAAAAAAAAAAAAACTCCCTGAAGACATCTTTTTTAACCTATACCTTTAGAAATTCTGAAATGGAGTTTATAAATAAGAGGCAAAGGGGCCAGCCTCATGGTTAAGTTCACGCACTCGCCTTCGGCAGCCCTGGGTTCACAGTTTGGATCCTGGGCGCAGACCTACACACCATTCATCAAGCCATGCCGCAGCAGCATCCTACATGCAAAACAGGAAGATTGGCACAGATTTTAGTTCAGCAACAATCTTCCTCAAGCAAAAGGAATAAGATTGGCAACAGACGTTAGCTCAGGGCCAACCTCCCTCACCAAAAACAAAATAATAATAAATAAAAAATATATATATATACATATATGTAAAAATAAAAGACAAAGATAAACTTTTGTGTAATGTGCTGTTTAAGGACCTGGTTGGACTGTGTTCTTGCTGGACTGATGTAATTACCTCTTGTTCGTCTTCACTTTGGCCATTACTACAAAATGCTTTGTCTTCCTCTTTCTGGTTTGGTTTTAATGGTTTAGTCAGTATTACTCCCCCGCACACAGTGCCACCAAAACTTAAATTATTATCACCATAAAACTATTGTGTGTGTCTTGGGACATGTGTCTATGTTCGATCAGCAGTCTTCACTTAGAGAGGCAGTGTCGCATCAGATTGTAGCGAATACAAATGCAGATCTTGGAACCAAACATCCAGGGTTCATACCGCAGCTCCTCCACTTGCTGGCTCTGTAACCACGGGCAAGTCACTTAATCTTCCTGTGCCAAAAACTGCTTACCTGTAAAATGGAAACAACAATACTCCTACTTTGTGGAGTTATTATGAAGATTTATTGACTCAACTCAGTGAAAGCTCTCAAGAGAGAGTTAGGCAGATAAAAACCCTGGGACAAATGTTAGCTATTATTAATATTTTCATCATAGTCATATTATTAATATAAACCAGGTTCTAATAGTGGTTTACTTTAGGTGGCTTCTAGGTAACAGTTCTTATCACGGTATCCATATCATTTCCTTATGAACTTCAAACACATGCACATGACAAGAGTTGGTATTGTTCACTGGTTAAGAATATAGACTCTAGGCCCTGGCCTCATGGCTCTTTCCTCAAGCAAAAACAGGGGACGATTGGCAACAGATGTTAGCTCAGGGTGAATCTTCTCACCAAAAAAAATTTAAAAAAAAAAAGGAATACAGACTTGGAGAACCAGATGTCATGGGTTCAAATTCCAGCTCCGCTACTTATCAAAAGCATAACCTTGGACAAGTTGCTTAATTTATCTGGGCCTCAGTTTCCTCATCGTTTAAAATAAGAATATTCACAGTACCTATTCATATGTTTGTTATAGGAATTAATAGAGGGGTTACTATTTGTAAAGTTTTAGAAGAATGGCTGGAAAAAGGTTTTGCTAAGTAGATTTTCATTCTGAAATTGAATAAATAAAAAACAGTCTTAAAATTCATCTTATGCATACCTGAGATTAATCATCAAAATAACTATATATATTACCTAGTAATATAAGCACTTACAAATAATGGGTCCAATGAATTACTTTTAAAAGCAATTTGGTTTTTCTCTTCTTTCCAACAGAAGAAAATAATTTCATCTTTTCAACCAAGGGTTTATTGTTTATTGGTCATGTGGATATTCTTAAATTCATTAGTATCAAGCTAGAATTTTTTTATAAAGGAAAAAAGTTGTCATCTAGTTTCAACACTTCTAGTGTCAAAAATAATTGTGCTTTACAGCAAAATGGCAGCCAGAAGAAAGAGGTGTAGAAATATCAACTTTAATTAAACCCTTTCTTTCAAATACACTTCACAGTTTATATGCAAGAATAATTTATCACCGTGTGAATGAACACTTAATACTTGGCATGGTGTAAAATGGGCAGAGATCTTGTTGTACCATATGCTCTTTCCTTGTTATTTCTTCTTCTTGAGATTCTGTGGTGGCAATGTCAAGTTTGAATGTGAAGTATGTGGTTCAAATCTTACATTCAACTCTTATTGATGGCCTGCTTCACCTTTGAAGAGCTCAGGCCCTGAACATGTAATTGTGAATAAGATATAATCCCACCCATTAAGAGGCATCCAGTCTAGTCAGGAGATGGCATATGAATCAGAAGAAATGCCCCACCATCTCTCACCAGAACTCCAACCATGAATATGAGGCTGGGAGCTGCTTGTAGAAAGTGTCACCCAGTGGCTTCACATTACAGAGAATGAGGCAGAGCCACCAAGAGGGAAACTGGTGAGCTGCCACGATAAGCTAATAGCAGATTATTGACCCTATCCTCAGCTTCCTGACTTAAGCCTGGGGATCTTCTTGTTGCTTCACGTTGCCTCATTTTAGGATCTAACCCCTCCTGGGTTCCTCCCTGTGCTCCTTCCGCACTGTTAGTTTGGCTTGCAAGAAACAGCATTTGTTGTATTATTAATATGCCCGAGTCTGAGGGTGAAGCTGTTAAATGATGACACTGCCTTTTTAATCTTCCTCTTTCTTCCACGTAGCCCTTTACATATCCCAAAGTGTCTGTATACAACGAGTATTAAACCCCCATGCCTTGAAAAGAGACTAACAGAATACATCATGGAGTGGTATTGGGGCAATGATAGACACCTGAAATTAACTGTACATCTGTGGCCGCCCCAGATGCCATTGTTCCATATTGCAAAGGAAGCAGAAAGGCTTGGGTTGGTAAAGTCAAAGACCATCAGAAAGGAAGGGGTTCTCTACCAACAAATTAGAATTCCACCAATTCCCTTATTTTCTAGACTACTGAGGCCAGATGGCTATGGTATCCCCAGGTCACTCTTGTTCCTCAATTCCTTTTTTAGAGAAAGCACTTCACCACTCTCTCCTGGGAATCTCCATCTGTAAGGCAAGAGCACCTCCCTCTGCTGAGTGAGATTCCACAGGCTTGGATTGTGGCATTCTGGGAAGGGAGGGAGTGAGCCAGTGTGCCCGGTGCCCACTCTGGGTCCAGCCTGATACATGCAGCAGTTCTTGTCATCCCCTTTGTTCAGATGATACCCTGGAGGTTCAGAGGGCCTGAGTGGCATGCCAAGGTCATCCATATTGTAAGATATAGAAGTGGTATTCCAATCCAGGTCTATCTGATCTCCAAATCTAGGTACATTCCACTATGCAAAGATCCATACTTTCTCCTTCATGTTCCCTTTTCCCCCCCACCACTTTATCCAAAGTAGATTGCTAAGAATTTGATGATGCTTTTTATTCCTGCAACTCTCAGGACACTCACCAATTTCATTTATACCCACCAGTGCTGAACTGTCATCCTCAATATCAGTGTGTTATCCTCCATGCCCAACAAGTTTCTGCAATTCCCTCCTATTGGTGATGGATATAGTAATGAGGCTTGTCTGGTTCTGGGAGCTGGAGCTCCAACTGGAGTCTGGGTGGCACTCCAGGGGGTGAGGATGATTGTCCAGAAGAAAGTGTGAGGTGCTAAGAGAGGGAAGCAAGCAACAGAAGTTCTTTGGGGACAATTAAGTTTCTAGCACCAGAATTACTAAGTCCAGTGAATAAGTCCAAGAAGCTAAGACAGGAGTTAAGGACTAGAGAGAAGAGCCAGAGCACTGGAGAGAGGACTAGAGTGACTATAGGTCAGAAACGTGTAAGGTGTATGGAAAGGTGGTAGCTGCTCATCCTTACTATTGATGAGTAGCTGAGTCATGGCTGGACACACGGAAAAACAAGACTTTTGGACAAGTTGATAGCACATGGTGTTTTATTTCACTTCTCCTGGCTGGACAGAGTTTGTAAAATATCCTTTGTAAGACTTACAGATTAAGGTAGGATCTTTGGCTTCTTGTGTAGACCTTTGACCAAGCAAGAGCACATCTTGCTCATGTTGAATTGAATTGAATTGAATTGAATTGAATTGAGACTATAGCCTTCATTGGTCCACCAATGAGAACTTGACCCATTATTTCACTTAAAAATGTTTTTGTGACCACCAGTGGTTTCTCAGGATTTTCCGAGACCTCCCTTCTCTAGCAGGATCCATTGCTGCCATCCTCCTTCTGTATACCCTCCAGTGATGCTGGATGTCTTGAGACATGCTGTGCTTGTGACCAGCTCTGGGCTTGTGGCATGCTGATCTTTCTGCATGGACATCTCATCTACTCCCTTCTTCTCACAGTGATGCTCACTTCAGGGTTGAGCCTAGCCATCCTGTCCTCTTGGAAGTTTCCTTTAACTGCCCCCACGCTGCCATCTGCATCCTCAATCCCCATCAATTAGATGTTCTTCTCCTGGATTCCCATAATGCCCTAATTACAAAAACATACCCAAGCACAATTAAGATTAATAATAATAACAGATAAATATGGAGTGCTGACAGTGTACCAGGCATTGTTCTGAGAGACTTAGGGGAATTACTCATTTAATCCCCATGTTGAGGAGGCAGTGGGTACAATTCTCATCCTCATTTCAAAAATGAGCAAGCTGAGCTCAGAGAAGTCAGTTAGCTCACCCAAACCCATATGTAGTAAGTGGTTAAACAGCCAGTGAGACCTAAGCTTGTGAATTGCACAGCACATTTTGTCTTCTTATAGGCCTTGAAGGGTCTCCATGTGTGTGTATCTCACCCAGCATGTGTAAGCTACGAGAAAGCAGAGACTATTTCTTAAATCACATCTCCCTCCTCACTACCCAAAGTGAAGTGCTCACGGGGTGTCATGTGGGTCACTGTTTACAGCATGAAATTGAAATGCAGTGGGGATGCAGCCTGCGCCTCATCTGACCTTTCTCTCTGCCTGTAGAAGCCGCCTGGGGAAGTGGGCAGGCCTGACGTGATGTGCTCAGCGAGCAGAGACATTCCACTCCAAGAGAGGTCTGTGTGACGCGTCTGGGAGGCCATCATCGGCCGCAACACCTCACGGTTGGTGGAAGAAGGGGTGACAGCCGCATTCTCCTGTGCCTACCACGTAACCAAAAATGAAGGAGAACTATTGTTTACAAGCCGCCTTGGTGTGCCTGGGCATGCTGTGCCACAGCCAGGCCTTTGCCACGGAGCGGCGGAGCCACCTGCGACCCTCGTTCCACGGACACCACGAGAAGGGCAAGGAGGGCCAGGTGCTGCAGCGTTCCAAGAGAGGCTGGGTCTGGAACCAGTTCTTTGTGATAGAGGAGTACACCGGGCCTGACCCCGTGCTCGTGGGCAGGGTAAGGCTGCTGTTATTCACTACCTACTTGTCTCCCTCTACCATTCCAGTAGGAAGGCATGGCCAGAAAATCTAGAAGGGAAAACACCAGTGCTCTGCCCATCCAATAAAATCCACAAAATCATTGTTCACACATCCTTCCAACCTTTTTTCCCCCCAGTTAATAAACCTATCCATAATATGTTAACATAGACATGTTAAGAACACCTATTTTCCACTTAATGTTATAGCATAAAAGTTCCCTTCTTTAATGGCTGCACAATGGTCTCCTGAATTCAAATGATGATTATTTATTTAACCATTTTCCAACTGGAGGCATTTCTCTGACCACACCCTAACCCCAACGTGGATACCCCGCCTTTGTGTCCTCATAACACTGTGTACCCTTTTTATCATAGCCTTCCTTTTTGTATTACACATGTCTATTTATTTGTCTGTCTCCCTCACTGGACCTGAAGCTACTTGTTGTCAGGAATGGTGTCATCCTTGTGTCCCCAGGGCCTGGTGCTGAGCCTAGCTTTGGGGAAGCCTCTGAATACTGGATGAGATGAATGGCTGTGTCATAAGAATGGGTGGGAGTTTGTCTGCTTTGGCTTAGGGATGGCAACACCCTGTTGGGATGGCTTGAGAATCATAGCACTGCTCAATGTTGCCTTGTCCGTGTACCTACTACAAAACAGTGCAAATTTGGAGAGTCTAAAGTATGTTTGAAAAAATGTGTGCCCACTATCATTTATGGTAAAACATGCAACCATCTTTCAGATGATAGTGACGTTAACTACAAGGAGGTAGGTATTCACATACATAACAAGGAAAGCCTGCTATGTGCAGGTGCAGAGCTGGGCAAATGGTAAACCGGGGTAGAATTTTCCCTGATCTCAAAGAGTTCAGAAATTAGTAGAAAAGAGACATTCACCTAAGCAATGAAAAAAAAAAACCAAAATGAGGAATAGAATAATGAAGAAATTCAATACAAGTCATTATGAATTTACATGGTAAATTCGATATGGTTGCATTGTAACCTTTGGGAAGGATAAAAGAAAGTTTCGTGGAGAACATGATAATAACTGTGACCTGAAAGATGAGCAGAATTTTCCAGTGAAGGGGGAAAGGGAATAGATTTGAGGGGTGCTAATTTCTGAGCCTCAGAGATTCCAACAAAGTTGTGTCAATTGCTCTTTAACATGAGAACAGCATCCCATATTTATGAAATTGACATATTTGGAGAGGGTTCATATTAGCTTTGCAATAATATTGTTCAGGGCTGGGAAAGTGTCTTTCTGAAGAAGTATATCAAAGGAATTTCATTCATTCATACCAAAATGGAAAGATTATGCCCAAAATAGGGGGAGACTTGGGAAATGGGAGCACAGGGAAATAATTAGCACTCAGAATTCCCTGCATCGAGGAGATGGGCTCTGTGCCCAGAGAGGAAGAAGAAACCTCAGCCGTGGCAGGGACTGCAGTAGCTTGAACAATGTGGAGAGCCGTGCATGAATTGTTTTGAGAAAATGGGACTTCTGCCGTGGAGACTTTCTCAGTGGGGAACAGCCTGTGTATTAGGGTGGGGGTTGCAGAAGAGACGGGGCCTGGAAAGGCATTTCAGCATCTCTGTGGAACAAGCAGTTGTCATGCCTACTAACAGGGAGAGTAGGGGGGAAAAAGGGAAGTAGTGAGTGACCTTTAAAATCTAAGCACGGGAGAATGAGTCTGGTGTGAAGTTGGATGGGGGGAAAGGAAAGAAAGTGGTTGGATGCTATGGATCTTCCTTTTGAGATAATGCTGACCTATGGTTCCCCGCGAATAAGGGAATAGACTTGATGACTTGTTCCTTAATCACTTTTGATTGACGACATTCAAGGTTGAATGATTTAAGATGCTCTGAAAAAGTGGGATTTGGCAACCCAGAGACTTTTCAGGATTCTTGCAGGAAGCGTGCTGTGTCACGCTGTGCTATGCAGAGGAGAAGCCATCAGTCTTCGGAGTTAGAAATTGGCTGTGTACACCTCAGCAACAGGATCCATTGATAGCATCGAGTGATTTCCCAAACTGAATTCCGTGTGGAACCTAATAAATACCATTGTCAGTTGTATAGAACATCTTTATTGGAGAGGGAAAAAAGGGAATTTATATCCAACTTGCAAATCTGAAAACAAGAAAAAGATAAGGAGGAGCATATTTATGAAATCTTCTAGTTATTCGGTTGATCATGAAATTTCTGTTTAATTCCCAAGAGACTTGCCAAATTCATATGTAATACATGAAGGACCCTAGACACATTTGTCTGGGCACTCTCATTAAAGTCAGCATTTCATTTCCTTCCTTGTTGCTCATGCACAAGGCTGAGCCCCTAGCTTTTGCCAGGTCTGAGGCAGGAAAAATGAACACGTACAAACCATTGTTGATGGGTGGGGTGAAAGCAGAGTAGGGTACAAGGATCCTGCCCTCACTATGGAAACTTGTGTGAAGATGGGGGCAACGCTATTGATTCGTCGGAGGCCATCAAATAACCTTATATTTTACTCAGAATGACCTTATTCATAAGAAATCTTAGCATAATTTAATGACAGCACATAGCTTGTTATGCATAACAAGTTTTGAAGGGAATGAGAGAAAGTGTGCTTTTCTTTTTCTTTTCCTGAGAAGGACAGTAGACTAGAGTCAAAATGGCCTCGGTAATTTGTACCTACAGGCATCCCCCTGAGCTGAAGTATTTGATCCTTCATTGGGACACTGCAGATCAATTAAATATTTTTTGGGAAATTGAAACAATACAAAAATTTTTAAAAAGCAATGTGTTCAGTCTTGTTTTGTGACTCTGGGCAAGTTCTCTAAGCCTTGGTTTCATAACAATAATAATTAAAATGGCATTAATCATATTAATATTAAAATGGCATTGATGATAGTAAGTGTAAAATAATATAATAACTGTTATATAATAATATTATTATACAATAATAATAAGCTAAAGAGTTTTAATTTATGCTGGATTTTCCTATGTAGTAGGCAGAACCAAAGGCTTTTCATCTTCCTGGTTACTCTTAAAGCAGTGAAAGGAAAGCTTCCCTTTCCCCACGAAGGGAATAATGAGGGCAGAGGAACTCAGATTAAGATGAAAGCTGCAGACATTGAGCTTGGACGACAAGGGAGGGTGAGGAATTTCTTGCTACAGGAAAATTGGACGTGGTCTTTGGGAGAGTTCCATGTTATGAAACACACAGCAGAGGGAAGGCAGAAAGGCACAGGATGGTTGCTTAGAGGAGGACCTGGCTGATTTCCTGGCCCTGCCAAGTGTGAATTTAGTCAAGTACCATTTTTTCTCTGGGTTTTGTCAAAGAAAGTGAAAAACCTAAGGACATTTAAGCTTCTTTCTACTGTCTAAGAAACTACATCTATATCAGCCCATCCCACCCACCTCATGCTTTATGGTTAGAATGGGAGCTTCTTCCACGCAGGCTGCATCCCCCAGTGTCATTCCCAGGGTGCCACACAGTAAGTCTTCTGGAAAGGTCTGATCAATGAATTGTTTGTAGGAACAAAAGCCAGGAAACAAGTTTAGTGTCCTTTGGAAGAGGACTGCTAAGAGAAATGATGATACCATCCATACAATGGATGAGGTGGATCTTCATGGACCAATGTGGAAGGCTCACCTGAGTTTATTGTTGTAGGAAGACAGAGGTGAAGAGTGATGTGTGCACTATGGTACTTTATTGCATAAAAATACACTAGGACACTTGTTTATCTGGATAGATATTCTTGCACATGCATAGTATATTTCCCAGAGATTCACAAGAAACTGGTAATAGCAGTTGTCTCTGAGCAGTGAAAATGAAGGAATGAGAATCAGAACTGAGAAGACTGACTTATTGCATGAATGTTTATTTTTATTCTATTTTATTTATAAGAATCTTATATATTTATATATAATTTAAATATACAAATATGAATGTATTTCTTTCAAAATAACTCTGTATGCATATTTTGTATGTGTGCATATATAATAGGAGAGGGGGAGAGAGAGTATGAATCTTGGAATTAAAAAAAAAATGTTTGGACGCTGGCTTCACTGTTCCCTGGCTGTGTGACCTTGGCCAAGGCAATTAACTTCTCTAAGATTCTATTTCTTCATTTGTAAAATGGTATGAGAATGCCTGCTCTCATGGGGGGTGTGTGTGTGTGTGTGTGTGTGTGTGTAATATAGCAAAAAGCATGTAAGTGAGTCTCTGCCCCCCCATTGCATCCCTCATGGAATTACAAATCTCCATTTCTCTTTTTCCAGCTTCATTCCGATATTGACTCTGGTGATGGGAACATTAAATACATTCTCTCAGGTGAAGGAGCCGGAACCATTTTTGTGATTGATGATAAATCAGGGAACATTCATGCCACCAAGACATTGGACCGAGAGGAGCGAGCCCAGTACACGCTGATGGCTCAAGCAGTGGACAGAGACACCAACCGGCCGCTGGAGCCTCCCTCAGAATTCATCGTCAAGGTCCAGGACATTAATGACAACCCTCCTGAGTTCTTACACGAGACCTACCATGCCAACGTGCCCGAGAGGTCCAACGTGGGTGCGTACTGTGGGAAGACCCACTCTGCCTGGTGTCTCTGCAGGTGGCTGAGCTGGTGCCCGTACTCCCAAATCAAGAAGGAGAGCTCATGCTATATGTTCTTTGGCAAAAAAAAAAAAACAAAAAAATTTCATTTGTGTAGCTGAAATTTTGAATATTTAAAATGGACCTGAGGTTTTAAAATCTAAACATACATGGCCAGCCTGGTGGCATGGTGGTTAAGTTCATGCACTCCGCTTTGGCAGCCCGGGGTTCACAGGTTCGAATCCTAGCTGCGGACCTACATGCAGCTCATCAAGCCATGCTGTGGCGGTGTCCCACACACACAATAGAGGAAGGTTGGCACAGAAGTTAGCTGACCAAATCTTCCTCACCAAAGGAAAAAAAAAAATCTAAACATACAAAATTTGAGGAAGTATGGAAGAGAGGAAAGAACATGATTGAATCCAGATCATTCTGGTCTGGTGCATGTCACTGTGTGACTTGGAAACTGTTATGTCTGTTCTCTGAGCCTTAGTTTCTTACTCTGTAGAAAGAGAATAACAATTTCTGGTCTTGCAGGATTAGAAACAATACGCATTCAGTCACTAGCACATGTTGATGTTCAATAAGTAATAGTAATGGTAATATTTTTTTGTGTAGGCATCATGCTACTTAATGATTTACATGCACTATTAGCATTTAATTTTTGCAATGATTCATCGTTGCAATGAGGAAGGTCCTATCTGACATATTTTGTAGATGGGAAACCCAAGCCAGAAACAGGTTAACTCATTTATCTAAAGTCATATGAGCTATTAAGTGGATCCAGAATAACACTTACCCATGACACTATGTCACCATCTATTAGAATAACTCAGAAGTAGGTATGTCTTTTTATTATGCAGAAAGACACATTGCATTGTTGGAGGATAATTCTCTGAAAGATTTCTTCAATTAGCCACCTTTTCCTGGCAATGAATTTCATTTTGCTTTATAGAATGCATGTAGTTGTGATCTTTTGAGAAACATGCCTCATGTTAAGAAAAGTTTGCCTTTCAGACAGTGAGAAGGGCTATTCGGATCACAGATTGAGTCTGGTTATATGAATCAGAGATTTAGAGTCCAAATGAAGTTAAGGATCACCAGGGCCAAGCCACCCATTTTACAGATGAGAAAACCAAGCAGCAAGAATGGGAATCAAGCTGCTCAAGAAAATTAGAAGCAGAAGTGAGCCTAGAGCCCTAAGCTCCTTCCACTCTGCATGTAGAGCCCGTGATGCTAAAAGAAAATCTCCTTCTCCATCTCCAGGAAAGTCACACTCTTCTCATACTTTACAAGAGCCACCCTGAGCCATTTCTTGCCTTCTTCTCTTCCCTTTTACCTGCCCAGTCCTTTAGTCCATCAGTATTCACCTGGGGATTTTAATGAGAAACAACAGACATCAAATAAATCCGTAAGTAGAGGACAATAATGTTAGCAACTGAGCCAAGAGGAAAAGGCCGGTCACCAAAAAGGATACTCCAAGGGGATTTTCATTTCTCCCACCTTTGGGGGCTCCTTGATGCTTAGAGGTAACACCTACACTTCCCATCATGGACAATGAGAGTAGAGTCTGCAGTCAGTACTGGGTTGCAATCGTGGCCTTGCCCCTGACCAACCGAATAAACCCAGACAACTTCTTAGATATTTCTCGGTTTTAATTTTGTCATCTATAAACTATGATGAAGGTCAAATAACATTGATGTAAAATGCAAACAGTTATAATGGACTTAGTGGGGCTCCAGAAGCAAATTAAGCATAAAAAAATAAAAGTTTCCCTAGCTGTACCATGATGGTAGAGAATAGAGCTTACTCTCTTTTATAAATCTCCACTACCTAGAATAGTGCCTGGTTAGATAGGAAGAGCTCAAAAAAAAGTTGTTTGCAGGAAATAAGGAATTACAGAAGAGTAATTAGAAAAAAGTGAGGTTTACTTCTGCACCACATGAAAATCACTGACAACCTTGTAAATGAAAGGGTTGTCAGGGGCGGCGTAAACAGGCTGCCCAGCCTCCCACGTAGAACCTTGCCCGTCTGCTGCTCATGTCACCGAAAGAACTTGGGTTTGGTTGTTTGCTGGATAGGAGTTAGACTCCTGACTCCAGCAGTAATCCACTTTGCAAAATAAATTGCACAACTTTATTACTCTCACATCCAATTTCTCACAGGTACAATGGATGTAGAAAATGCTGAGCAGACAGACGATGGCAGAACGTGCGAAATGTGTCCCAAACAGTGCCTAACACAGAGGAACTCGATAATTGCCGGTTCCGTCCCTTCAGCTTCTCCCCCTCCATTCTGAAACCCAACATGCCAGGCCCCCAGATACTTGTGCCCAGCAAGGAACAGAGGTTGTTCTAGGCAAGACAGACTCCCAGCTTCCTTCAATTCCCTGGTTTCCTTTCATTGTGACCCACAAATGTTCACCTTAGATCTCACCAGATGTCTCCTGGAGGTTTCTGTTCTTTGACTACGAGATCCGTTAGAGGTGGGAAGATGCACTTTTCATGCCAGTAGGGAACAACATTCTGTACAATATTTATAGCCATAAATTAATTAAAATGTAGTATTAGCAGCCATTTTATTACATGCAAAGCAACAATAAAATGATGTATTTATTGCTCTGCTACAGATGGGAGACTGCACTCTGTCCTTTCATGAAAAGCAATTCATCATTAATTACCCTTTATGAGACTCTTTGGGAAGATTTTTATTTAATTATTTGGTATACTGAACATTTCAATTGCATGGGTCTTAGAATGTTTTTGCAATAATGTTCATATTATTATTTTAACTACTTAGCATAGCAGGAGGTACTATGAATATAGAAAGTTCATTTTTAAGCTATGGGAATTTTTTAAAAAATGATAATAAGGAAGGAAGAAAAGATTATTTTGCATCTCAACCCTGGGAAAATGAGAAAATGAGAGCATGTTGAATGATTGTGGGGCTTCCCTCAGTTTTTAATTTTATGATGAAACTTTGTAATCTAGAATATAATTTGAAAAGCTGAGGGACTGTTGCTAATGAATTTACTTCCCTTTGAAGGAACGTCAGTAATCCAGGTGACAGCTTCAGATGCAGATGACCCTACCTACGGAAACAGCGCCAAGTTAGTGTACAGTATTCTGGAAGGACAACCCTACTTTTCAGTAGAAGCACAGACAGGTACCGTGGAATGTCATTGCGATCTCTGACACATTGTGGATCAGGAGGCCATGCCTGCTTACTAACCCTATTTGAGTCTGAGTTTTCTCAAACATGAAAAAGGCCACCTTACAGAAATATTGCAAAGATTAGACACTGCTCATGTGTCTGGCGTATCATTGGTGTCCAATGAGCCATACTTCTTATTGTTTCTGTCTGTATTTCACCATGTCACAATAATAAATATAATCTTAAAATGCATCTTTTGTCTTAAAATTGTGTTAAAATTCAATTTAAATTTAAGAATTTATCTTAAAATACTTAAATTTTTTCTTAAAATCAACTATGGATCCAAATTAAGAGACTATAGAACTTGGGGGCTGATATACAAACTGGCAGGTCTCAAAGCTTGCTTGGAAGCCCACTGTGCAGGGGTGGGGGGGGCGGTGTTAGTGCACAAGTGTGTTTGGGGGACAACACGTCCCCATCTCCTCCACTGCACTTATAGATCCCCAGTGGGCATCACCATCCAGCAGATGTCTTACAGGAAACAAATAGCAAAACCAGAGTGAACAAACACAGCAACCAAAACCAAAATCAAGATGCTGCACTTCATTTATAGCAAATTTGATTCTAGGATTTTTTTTACAGAATAAACACTAAAATCCTGTGAAACTACTAGTCCACAATATTATCCCCCCAAACCCTTTCTGTTTTCCACAATGTGCTGTATATATTTGAAAGATATTTACAATAATCTGGATTTATTATTATACTTAAAATTTGTCAAATATGTGCAGTCATTCATTGCTTAACTACAAGGATACGTTTTGAGAAATGAGAAATGCATTGTTAAGCGATTTCATCGTTGTAGGAACATCATAGAGTGTACTTGGACAAACCTAGATGGGATAGCCTACTACACACCTAGGATATATGGTACTAATCTTATGGGGCCACCATCATATATCTGGTCCTTCATTAACTGAAACTCATTATGCAGCACATGACTGTTTGTATATGTGTTTATATGTATGCACATAGTCTGCCAATTAGATGTTTTGCTCATTTACTAGACATAATTTCTGCTCACCTATGTAATCATTTATTTCTAGCCACTTTGCTTCAGAACACAATTTATGGGGCTGCTTGCTGTGATTTCATCAAAGGCATTTGCCATTTAGCCTTTCCAGGTTTAACCAAGGATTATTGTGGAATTTCATCTAGATTTTTGAGATGTTAAAAACCGGAGGAGGGACTCCAGTTGCAATCTTGTTTGTCTCAGGGTCTCATTGTGAAGAGCCACCAATTTGAACCTACCAAATTATTTAACAGATAAGGAAAACAAAGTTCAGTGAGTTCAAGGGTATTGCTGAGAAAAATACAAACATTGCGGGGGTTAAGAGATGGATAAGGGCTTAAAGCTTCCACAGCGCTCTCATATTTCCAGTATAAATGTTATCATATCTACAGACAGAAAAAGCTCGCACATGTTCCCAAGAGATTCAAGTGAGCATGGTTTTCATGCAAATTATGTGCTGATATCCAGGGATCGTGCAGAATTCAATCATTAATTTATCATTGTTGTCAGCAGTAGGCGATAGTAAACAGTGAGCATTTGTATGAGCATTGTGTATATTTTTAAGCCATTTGGTTCATTCTTTAAAACATTGTTAACATTTTAATGTGTTACTTGAAATACATCCCTGCTACTTTTAATTTGCACAATAGAAATGTTTCTAAGAACTGCGTGTAGGGATAAACTTTCTAAAGATTCTGCTGGCAATCCAAAAGCATGGGCTTAGTCACAGATAATCCATGCAGTAGGCTCTCAAATATTTCAGTCTTTAGGAGCTTTAAGCATTATACCTGAGAATAATGAGGTTATTACTTGCATTTACAGTTCAACCTGTAAAACATAAAATTTTAATACTATGTTAATAATTATGACAATTTGTGGGAAAGTACCTCTATTTGATACTTCAAGTATGTCTGCCTTTGGCTATAATTATCATGTCCAAGTGACTCCTCCATGAGGACAGATGCCTGAAGCGTGTCCTATTCATCTTTTCTTCCCCTATATCTAGGACTTTTTTGTTGTTAGGATGTTGTTATAAATGAGTATCTATGTTGTATTCTGCTTACCTGTCCAGGTATCATCAGAACAGCCCTTCCCAACATGGACAGGGAAGCCAAGGAGGAGTACCACGTGGTGATCCAGGCCAAGGACATGGGTGGACACATGGGTGGACTCTCAGGAACGACCAAAGTGACGATCACGCTGACCGATGTCAATGACAACCCACCAAAGTTTCCGCAGAGTAAGTAGGTGGCCTTGACTTTCACTTTTCCATGGTGCCACAGCCAGCTGTCTTCTCCGACCCAAGCCTACCTTACTCACCTTTCAAGAAAGCTAGAAAAATGAAGGCTCTTTATATCATTCTTGGAAAAAACAAAAACAGGACAACAGCAACAAGAAAACTTAGGTGGAGTAGATGTAGTAGGAGAAAAAGGAGATATGAAAAGTTCCGCAAGCTTGGAAACAGAAAATCTATATTGCTAGGTATTTAGGTCCTAGTGATGTGAACTAGTAATTAATTAACCTTTCTCTGTCTTAGTGTTCTCCTTTCTAACCTGGATATAACAGTCCCTGGATTAGTTATCTATTGCTATGTAACAGACTGCCCAAAACCTTTGTGGTTTAAAACAATAATAATTGTTTATTTTTGTCATGAGTCTGCAGTTTGGGCAAGACTTGGGGGAGACAGCCAGTCTCTCTTCCATAGCATCAACTGGGGACAGCTTGACTGGGATGAGAGGAGCCACTTCCAAGATGGCTCACTCAAATGGCTGGCGAGTTGGTGTTGGCTATTAGTTCCCCTCCATGTTTGCCTCTCCATGGAGTAGCTTGGATAGATTCTGAAAGTGACAGCCCCAAGGACACCAAGCAGAAACTGTATAGCCGCTGATGACTTAGCTTCAGAAATCACTCAGTCATTTTCACTGTAGTCATAAGACTGCCCAAATTTAAGTGGAGTTCTTGTAGCCCCACCTTTCAATGGAAGGACTGTTAAAGTCACGTTGAAGGAAAAGTATGTGGGATGGGAGATATTGTTTGGGTCATTTTCAGAAAATACAGTCTTCCACAAGACCTAAGGAGTAGGATGTTGTTAGAGCTAAATGAACTAGCATAAAATCTTACGTTGATATCCGGCATAAATTATCAACAAATATGAGCCAGTATCATTATCTAGGGAATATGGTCCTTCAACAAAACTTACTGGATTGCTGCAGGAAATAAAAGTAACAATGATTTTGAAAGGTTATTATTCATAAACTTAATTACAGCAACTACCATCCTTTAGTGAATAGTTGCCACTATTGCAAATCTCTACAAGAGCCTACTGGGTTCCCTGAAAGGTGCAGTGACTTGCCCAAAGAATGTGGCAAAGCCAGAATTTGAACACAAATCTGTTTATGTATGTATAGGTATAGACAAAGGGACAGTATAATCATAATGATGCTGGTACATGGGCAGTTCACCATAAAAGTGTCTTCTTCATTAGATTAAGAGAGTAGCTGGTAAAGCCTGTGAGTTTATGCCAGAGAAATGGCACTTTTCACAAATGAGGAAACAAGCAAGGCAACCAAGTATGTCCCCGGGGAGGCTCCGTGGTCATCAAAGGAATACAAAGACACAATCTACACAAGGGAGACATTGAGACAGAGGATTACAAGACAATGACCAGTTCTCATTGGGTCCCAAAAAAGGTGAAGAAAGATGCTGTGCCTGGTCAGCATTTCCAATAAGCTTAAGCCTCATATAGCACTCTAAAAAAGTTCATGCTCCATTATCCACACTCTAAAATTGTCTAGTATGCTAGAAGGAAAAGGCCAAGCAGGATTATTAGCAGGCAGCCATCAATGTCCTTGCTCTCATACAATCATATGGTAATGTTACCTCACTACTGTCCAGGTAACAGTTTCACAGCCATAAGCTCAAATGAGATTTAGGGAAAATCAACTCATAGCAGGTTTTTCTAAACCTTCATGTAAATTGGTAATCATCTACAGACTCCCACTTTCCACTTGTCCTTTAATATGGAGGGCATGATGTGATTAAGTTGAGTATGGGTCCGAACTGGAAATATTCAAAGCCAAATAATATAGGTAAATATGGACAGAGTATTGAAACTGATAAAATTAAGTAGGCGGGAAAAAACTTAAAGAAGTTGAGTCACTTGCCCAAGACCACTCAGCTTAGAAGCGGTAGAGGCAAGGTTTCCAACCATTGCTTTTCTGTATTGTTTTACACGGAATATTTTTTAACAGTGAAAATGTAAATAAGATCGTCTCAAATCTCACTTCCCTACTGAAACCTTCCAGTAGCTTTCACTAGGTTTAAACGAAATTTGAAGTCGTTTCCATCTCCTCCAATGCCCTTTTCACACCGTTGGGCCCCAACCTACCTACCTACCCTTATCTCTGAACAGCAGGAATTTTGCTATTTGCTCTTCCTTTTGTCTATACTTTGTATCCCCAGATACTCACAAGATTACTTGCTCATTCCCTTCAGGGGAGTTCAGATGCCTTTTTCTGAGGGGTACCTTCTTGGACCATGCTGTTCAAAATCAATCTCTCTCTCCATCTTTGTCCTGCTCACCCACACATATTTAACGCAAGCATAGACATTCACACACACTCACATTCATACACATACACCATCACACTCACACAGTCACACACTCACAGTCTCATTACCCTCTGCCCCTCACCATACTTTCTTCTTCTTCTTCCCAGCAGTGACATCAGAGTATGTATACATTTGCTTTTTTCTCTTTAGTGTGCCTCCTTAAGGGAAGAATGTTGACGGTTTCATTTACTCCTGAGTCTCCAGGGACTAGGACAGTGCCCGGCATGTATTAGGTTCCCAATAAATAGGAAATGAATATATATGGAAGGCCACACTGAGAAATCTTTCCCACTAAGTCAGGGCTTAATCAAATGGTGATGGAGGTAAGGTAAGAGGAGTGTCAAATATAGAGCTAAAAGGGCCATTATCTTGATGGATAAAATTTGCATTTGATTTTAAAATAAATATGAAGCTATGGAAGCCTTTTAAAAAAAGAAGGTTTTTTTTTTTTTTCTGGGCACCTGGGCAGGGCCATATGTGAACCTTGGAAATAACTTATGGACCATCCCGAAGACATGAAAAGAAGTCTTGGCTATTTGAATGTATAAAGACCAACAGGGTCTTCCATCATATCCTGATGGGAGATATAACTGAGCATTGTTTTCCTTTCTCATACATGGCAAGTGACCCCACTATATCACCCTGGACCCCGATATTGTTTCATCATCCTTTGTAGAACATATTTCCTTGACAAGCAGACCATGTGGGATCTTCCTCCCAGCCATCCACTGCTTTCATGTTTTCGAACAATAGAAAGTTCAATTTCAAACCCTTTGAGAAATGTATTGAGATTCAATGAAATCTAAAGTTTTACAGCTGCCAAATAAAAGAGAAAATAAAAATAGATGTCTTCTTCTTCTAGGCGTATACCAGATGTCTGTGTCAGAAGCAGCTGTCCCCGGGGAGGAAGTGGGAAGAGTGAAGGCTAAAGACCCAGACATTGGAGAAAATGGCTTAGTCACCTACAATATTGTTGATGGAGACGGTATGGAATTGTTTGAAATCACAACGGACTATGAAACACAGGAGGGCGTGGTGAAGCTGAAAAAGGTGAGTCAGGGTGAGGAATCAGACACGTCAGTGGTGTGGCTGGCTTTGCCAAGGCAACACTGCGGGAAACGGGGAGTTGAAGTTTAAGAAACGAGAATATGCACAACTGGGGGCTGACCTGACTTTGCAGTTGAGCTCTGAGCTCTAGGGAGATGACAGAACTGTATTCCTCTCTGTTGCTGCAGAGGGAGCTGGTGAAAGGGGCTGATGATGCCCAGCTGAGATGACTAGTTAGTTCTTATATGATTTGGCACAGTTTTCCCCTGCATAAATCGAAATTTTGGAGAATAGCCCGGAGCGTGCATGGCCTTCCCCCTTTAGATCTGCCAAGCTGAATCTGTTAATATGAGCTGTTCAGAACTTTTCCTGTTTCAGATATCCAGGGTCCACTACATTGCTGGACACCCTATGAAACTTGAACCAATCCTCTGTTTGATTTTCTCTCAAAATTGAACCTGAGAAACAATAATAATGGACCTTCTCCCAGAGTCAAACTGTCACTGAAAATGTGTCCTTGGAATTAATTCACAACCAAGAAGGTTTATTGTTTTGTTTTTTTTAAATCTAGCATTTACTCAGTACTAAATATTGTCCAAATAAAGCCTGAGTCTCTTAGAAACATTCAGTTATTTTTTCACGAAAATCATGTAAAGTCGATAGTGTGATCCCAATGCGCAGTGATATCTCCATTTAATTATGAAGAGATTGGGGCTCAGACGGATTAAATAATTTGACCCTGTCATAATCACGCAGTTAGCAATTTACAGACACAGAATTGAAACCTAGGGTGTTCTGAAACAACTTCCCTCTCAAGGCATTTTGGAAACCGCTGGACCAGAAAGGTTCATAAAAGAAAGCCAGATAGGATTCACTTTCAAATGAAGAAACAGTTCCAGTATATTCTAAAATGGTTTTCCCCCCTGATTCGCCACTTGAGAAATCAACACCTCTCCATCATCAAAGTATATGGAGCATTAAATCTGAATTGGATGATGGGATTACCTCGGTTTTAATCAAGCATTCATTTTCAACTTTGTTTTGTAGCATGAATATTAAGCTCCTTGGTGCAATGGAAAAGATTGGGCTGTAACACTGATAAAAAATTAATTTAAAGAATCAATAAAAAGGCCAGGAGCTGGAGAAGAGGGCACGGGTGGGGTGTGGGAAGATTCCTGGAAGGAATCCTTCCGTAAGGGAAGAAGGGAAAGATGTGTTCTAGGAAGCTGACTTTTCACATTTGGAAGCCTCTTTGGGTTTGGGAGAAATATTATGGGACATAGAACAAAGAGAAACCAAGGAGGTCTCTGTCGTAAAAGCATATGGAAGTTGGGGTCAACTTTGGGTATGGGAGAAGTCAACACTAGTGACGATGGATGGTATAGCCACAGAAGCCTAATATCAGCCACAAGGGGCTGGGGTATTCCCTCCCTCTAATTTCTCTTCTGGAAAAGTGGCTGTGTGAATTGTGTGTAGCAAAGAGCTGTCAACTTACCTCATTAATTAATATTAGTATCCCTCCTGCTTGACACTGACAGATGAGCATTGACATAGCAATTCCTGCCTCTCATTCTTTGCTATTCAAGTAATTGGGTACTTGGTTATGCTAAGGTTGTCATCTGTTTTCGATGTATTCAGGGTGTACACACACACTGTCTCTCTAAATCCTGAAACATTTAAATCACCCTGTGGAACTCACACATCACAGACGAACTCTGCATATGGTTAATTTGCACATTTTCCCCCAATTGAGTGTGTTTATTCCAGGCAAAGGAATAATCTTGTTCAAAGCACTGATGTTTAGGTTTAAAACAGAGTAAAATGTTATTTCATTTGTAAAAGAACATTTGCTTAAACTTGCGGCATAAAGTTCCAAATGTGTGTAAGCATTAGAAGACATTTTAAATATTCCCTATTTTAATAAAACTATTTCGATGTCTCCCTATTTCTTTCCATTCTTCATCCACATGTATGTAGATGTGGATATATAACACTTCACACAGTTGCCATCATAGGGTGATCTCATTTGTTAACTTAATGTCACATCGTAAACACTTTACATGCTGTTACATAATATCCTTAATCATTTTTAACGACTGCATAACATCCCATCCTATTGATGGACTATTATTTCCTTAATAAAATCTCACGGTTGGATTTGGTCTTTCGTGTGTACATTTCCCCTGATTAGATAGAACCGTCTATTATATCTAACAAACATCATGCATTTTTGAATATTGTTTGTTTTTGGTTTTCTGTTGAATCGATCCCTCAGGGAGAACTTTCAGAGGTAGGATTAGTAACCTAGGAGGTATTAAGATTTTGATGGCTTATGCAGTGTGTTGCCTCATTTAGCTTTATTTCAACTCATAACATGGATATAAATGTTCACATGGGAAACTACCTTAAAGCTTTTTTGGAAGGAGGCAGGGAATAAATTGTAGGTAAATGCTTATGTGTTATCCTTCCATCAGCCCTGCTCCCCGTTCAGTCAAAGTGATTGGTGTATATGATCAGTCATTCCTGGGCAGTGGGGACGCAAAGATCAACCAGACTCAGTAGATTCGTTTGGGATGCTCCCCACCTAGCAGGGGTGGGAGATGAGGAACTACAGAAGGACAGCTAAGGGACCACGCAGATCTGCCTGGGGGAGCTGAGGAGGACATCACAAGGCAAGACGGCTTGGGCTGACACCAGAAGGCTTAGTAAAATCTCACCAAACTAGGAGAGGGCATTCCAGACAGGTGTCTGTAAAGATTTGGGGAGCTTTGCTTGGGATCTGAAAAGTATGAGTCAAACTGCAGCATGACTGTATGAGCCTCAACATCAATGGAACATTCCAGTGGGAACGTGACTCTGGGTCCCTAGGCATATGCCTCAACCAGGTTCCAAAGGTTCTGCTCTAGGAGCATCAACAGAGTATCTGAGATTGAAAAATTTCTCCTTACCTGATCTCAGAACGATCATATTCCAGTTTTTTTATCTTGTCTATTATTTGCAGAGATTGTTGAGAAATCACAACAATCTCATACCTTCAATCTATAAATATGACTCCTTTCTGCTGCTCAGTCACCCAATGAAGGACAAAGGAACTGCTGAGTCCCAGAATGATGGAGCAGCTTCGGGCAGACTTCACTACAGGAAGAGGGAGTGTTCTCTGACTCTGGCAAGATGGGGGTGGGAAGATGATGGAAAAAGTTGAACGTGTTTAACTTTCCTGAAAATGGAATCATCCTTAGTTTGGAGTTCTGTAGAATTAGGTCAGGACTAAGCCCTATGATTAGGTGCCCATTCAACATAAGTGTTTTCTGGGCAGATGATGGCAGCGTGGCAGGCAGATGCTCGCCCGAAAAGACCCAACACTTTCCAAACATTTGGTAGTTCGGCATCATCCAGAGTGTTAGTTAGAAAGTTCTGTTTCCTGGGCATGAGGGCTTGTTTCTCTGCTACAATTTGACTTTTCATCCTTTGCTGATTGATTCACTGTACCTCCTCTCATTCAAAATTAGGGAGTGTTTACCATAAATCTCCCATTAACTGCAGCCATGCAAATGCTGTTTCTCAATTTTTTTTCATATCTGTGTAATATCTCTACTGTTTATGATTGGACTTCCCCCCCCATATGTCTTATATCAAGAAAGCATTATTCGCATCCTCCTTATCACTTGACATTAATGGAAGGTAATGTAGAAATGAGCACAATCAAAACAAAACAATGCTGTTAGAATCTAGCTAGAAAATTGTATTGTAGTCTTGCAAAAGGGAGACTGAGAAGCATAACAGATATGTTAAAAATTAGCACCATACTGAGATTTTCTTCTTGATGTGTTCAGGAGTGCAAGAATTGCAAGAGGAATAATTGTGTCAATAAGTTAGTTAATGTCATTCAACAAACCCACCCACCAAAATTACCCATAAACCACCTTAAGTCATCTTATGGGGCACTGCCAGCAAAAGTCCCAGACTTTGGGAAGTGCTGGGTCACAAACTTAAAAAATGAGGCTATTAGTCTGATTAAGCCAGATGTGTGTAGGCGTGGAGGGGAGCAGTCATCTAACAAGACATCCCTTTGCTTTCTGGCTGAAGTTCAGAGGGATTTTTGTTTTTTGTGTTTTTGGTGAGGAAGATTGGCCCTTAGCTAACATCTGTTGCCAATCTTCCTCTTTTTGCTTGAGGAAGATTGGCCCTGAGCTAACATCTGTGCCAATCTTCCTCTATTTTGTATGTGGGACACTGCCACAGCATGGCTTGATGAGCAGTGTGTAGATCTGTGCCCAGGATCCAAACCCATGAACCCTGGGCTGCCAAAGTGGAGTGTGCAAGCTTAACCACTACACCACCAGGCCAGCCCAATTCAGCGGGTATTTTTATTACCAAGATTCTTAGTACCTTACAGATTGGACCACAGCATTTATTTTTTGTAGTGTTTTAATTCTTTTCCTTAGATGATTTTTAGTGACCAATTTTGGCAGCCTTAATCTTGTTATTTAGAATGAGGTTGATTTTAGATCATGTGGTCCTTCTGTGTTTGTTGTGCTCCTAGAATTACCCATTAAGCACATTCCAAGTTTCAGCAACTGATTTGTTTGATTTTCTGACCAAATGGCTCAGGTAATTGAATATTGAATAGACACTGATTTTCTCTCTTTGAGGAACTATTCACTCTGCCCTTAAAACAATCAGGTCTTTCTCTTCCATTATTCTTTCAAGGAATTGGTTTTCAATCTTCTCTTCCTTCTTGCCAGCCTGTAGATTTTGAAACCAAAAGAGCATACAGCTTAAAGGTAGAGGCAGCCAACGTGCACATCGACCCCAAGTTCATCAGCAACGGGCCCTTCAAGGACACCGTGACAGTCAAGATTGCAGTGGAAGATGCTGATGAGCCCCCCATGTTCCTGGCCCCAAGTTACATCCACGAAGTCCAAGAAAATGCAGCCGCTGGCACCGTGGTTGGGAGAGTACATGCCAAAGACCCTGATGCTGCCAACAGTGCGATAAGGTACAAACAGATTTATTTTAAAAGCCTAGATGGGCAATTTTAGAGGCAAGAGGTTTTAGGAAAGCCTTGCAGGAACCACATCCTTCAGTTTCAAAGGGGGTCCAAGATGATCAGGTTCAATGTGACGTAAACAAGATTGAGATTTAGAAGACATGAGTTCTACTCCACATCTGCTACTAACTTGTCGGATAAGTTTGTTCAAGCTGCATAATTTCTCTCTGGAACAGATTTCCCAGTGTCTACTCGGTGATATAACCCTTAGCCGGGCCTTTCTGCCTCAGGTGAAGTATAAATAGTGATTGTGAAATAATTATAGTAATTATAATTTATTGAATACCTTTCTACGCTCCAGTTACTCTACTGGGTGTGTTAGACATATGATCTGATTTATCACCTCAACTTTATTTTATAAGAATGATTATCCCTTACATGGAGAGGAAATTGGGGCCCTGCAAGGCACAGTGGCTTGCCTAGAATGACATAGCCAGTGAACAGGAAGCTAGGAAAGCAAGTTCTATCTAACCACTGCTGAACACTTTGGAGAGGTAACAAAGTGCCAAACAAACTTAGGGTGCTTTTGTTACTATGAATATATTTTTGTGACTCAGAAAAGCAAGCTAGAAAGGTGATTCAGACCCCTGCATCCCTTTTCCCTAGTGAGTTAAGGACCAGTGAGGCTGTTGATGAAGATGAGAGGGTGATAAAAAGGAGGCTCGAGTCTCAGATTCCAGACATTCATGGGGCAGAAATGCATAGTTGCCTGACACCTGCTCTGGACTGGATTATAGCAAGTGTTTCTTCTTCCGTGGCCATTCCCATAATTTCTTTCTTGCCTGGACTCCTTCCTCTGTCTCCTCATGGTCTGCCTGCCTCCAGTCTCCTTTCCTTTTTATCAACTGTAGCCAGACTGATCGTTTTAAAACTCACATCCAAATATCACATCGTACTTCAGTTAAACAACAATGAAAAATCAGTGATCAAATTGTTCCCCACTGCCTTTACCCCCCAAATAGTCTCAACTCTCTTTTCTTAGCTTAAGGCTCTTCTTCGAGCCTCTCCACCCCAGTTCCTGCTGTGTCCTACTGATCTCTTCTGCTTTTTGCCTTACTCCTCCTTCACACCAGACTCTAACTCGCAGCGAGACTGGGCTACTTGCCATTCTCTGAACTAGAGCTTGCACCCGCCAAATTCCTCACCTTCTTCACATGTCCTTCCTCCTGCTTGGAGCTCTCTCTCTCTTTCTTCCAACTTGCTGCATGGTACTCATTTTTCCCATCCTCACTTAGGCGTGACCTCCTCTAGGAGTTCTTCCAGGGCCCCCTACTGATGGATGAGATCCCTTTCCACCTCACCGCACTACATCATAGTGACACCGTACATTGTGCGTTGTCCTCAACACGCTCAAAAAGGGTCAGGGATGGGTCTATCTAGTTCAGGGGTTGATAAGCTACAGTCCACAGAACAAATCAAGTCACCATTTGCATTTTGAGGAATCTCTACTGTTTTCCATAATAGCTATATCTCAAAAAGATATCTGCATGCCCATGTTCATTGCAGCATTATTCACGATAGTCAAGACATGGAAACAACTTAATGTCCATCAGTGGATGAATGGATAAGCAAAATGTGGTATATGCATACAATGGAATATTACTCAGCCTTAAAAAAAGAAGAAAATCCCGCCATATGTGATAATATGGATGAATTTGGAGAACATTATGCTAAGTGACATAAGCTAGACACAGAGAGACAAATATAGCATGATATCACTTGTATGTGGAATCTAAAAATGTCAGACTTAGAGAAACAGAAAAGAATGGTGGTTTCCAGGGGCTAGTGGGTGGGGAAAATGAGGAGATATTGGTCGTAGGGTACAACTTTCAGCTATAAGATATATAAGTTCTAGAGATCTAATGTACAGCATAGTAACTATAGTTGATAATAATGTACTGTATACTTGAAATTTACTAAGAGAGTAGATCTTAGATACCCTCACCACACACACACACACACACACACACACACACTGGTAACTAGTGAGGTGAAGAATATGTTAATTAGCTTGATCATGGTAATCATTACATAAACTATACTTACATCAAAAGACTATGTTGTACACATTAAATATGGACAATTTTTTCTTTGTCAATCATTCCTCAATAAAGACAGGGAAAAAAAGTAAACAGATCTGAGTATGAAATAAAATTGTCATGGATTATGGAGTTTTCCTGTTTACACCAAAGAAAATGCTGGCAGGCCAGAAGAAAGTCCCAAATGTAAATTTCGTACCATTACCTTTAAATCCTAGAACTTTTTTCCTTTAGGGAGAAAGGAAGAGAATTATCCTTTATTGAGCATCAATAAAGGCCTCAGGCAACTTGTACTAAGTTATTTAAATAACACAGACATGTTTTGAGGCTGTGATTGCATTAGGATCCAGAAAAATGGAAGTACTGAAGCTCAAAGGGATGACATGAATTCCTTAAAGTCACATGGCCAGCCAGTAATGGAGACTGGATTTTGGCCCAGATCTGCCTTGAGTCCATTTTGAGCTTTTCACTCTAGCCCAGCAACCACTAATGAAAAGATTTCCCAAGAATATTTGAGTACTGTGTTCTCTCTGTGCAGGAAGATACATCGCATAATGACTGAGAATTGGTGTAAGACCTTTCCACTACTCAAAAATGTTCATGATGGGAATTTTAAATGAGTTAGCTTTGGCGTAGAATATTGAGGTGCATTAGCAACTTTTGAGAAAAGTAGTGATGTAAAAACAGCTGCTCCTTTCCTCTGAACCTCATTGTCTCCAAGGATCCGTGTCTGCAATTGGTTATTTGGGTCATGTTTTCAGTGGTAGGTGTCCTGTGCGTGTAGGCAATTTCCTTGTCTATAATTGTCCAAAGATGCTCAGTACCACCCTTGGACCAACTGGCCTCACCCTCTCAGGTCCCTTTTTGTTCAGTGAGCCTCCGATCCACACTACCTACTTTCCTGATTGCTTATCTTCACCTTTAAGGAAATTGATGTCCTTGTACATGTGGATAAGGCCTTACAGTGTCACCCAAACTCCTAGCTGCATGAAAATATTGCAGATCTTTCTTCACAGACTCCATAGCATTAGATACTCTTTTGTTTACCATTATCTTCCTGAAATATTCTCTCCTCTTAGCCTCCTTGGCAATAACCTCTTCATGCCTCAGATAGCACCATACCTGGTGTCTTCAGTAGTCATTGATCCCTGTCCAGGCACTGGGGGCTCCTTGGGGCTCAGCCTTTTAACTTTGGCCTTTCTCTCTCTTCTCTCACCTAGAGTGTTCCCACCCATGCCAGGATTGAATTAACTTGATGCTCCAGGTTCTCAGCCTCTAGGCCGATCTTTCTCCCTGCTTCTACTTCTGTACTTATTCGGTTGACTGCTGTGTATTTTCACCCACTTATTTTTTTCCTTCACTAGGTTGCTCATGCATTCAAAACATAGTTTTGAGCTCATAATTATTGAGACATACTTTTGAAAAAGGCTGACTCCACCCCTGACTCTCAAACCTACGATAGAGTGGAATCTTTGCTCAGTTAGCATGGCAGCACATCCCTAGTGGAATTGCAGCCTCTCCTTCCTGCTAAGTGGACTTTGTTTTTGTATCTCCCAATGTCTCCCTCTTGCTGATACTCAGCTGCAAACTCTTCAGGACTCCACCAGCCTTTCACAGATCTGCAAATACCCACTGAGTCCTACTGGTGCTTTCTACATCCCTTAGTCTTCCATTCCGTCTGTCACTCCCTTTCCTAACTCCTTTATCACCTTATTCCTTAAAAACTACATCAGATCCTTAAATTTCCTTTGTCCTTTCCTCTACTCTATCTTGCTCAGACCATCTTGCCCCCCCTCCACCTTATTAATCACCCTGATAGTCAGATTCCATTTATTTGTTCCTCTGATCAAAGGGCTTCCATGACTTTTCACTGGCTGTAGGATGAAGGGCACACTCTGTAGATTGACATTTGAGAGCTTCCGTGATCCATCCACAGCATGTAACAGCACCAGAAACAACAGAAATCATAACAGTTATTATTTGTTGTACAGCTTAACCATATGTGAGGCACTAAGTTATGTATCTCAAACATCTATTATTTTGTGTCATTCTCACAGATAACCTAAAAGTTAGGTACAATTAATATTCAAGTTTAAAAGATAAATAAACTGAGATTTAAAGAACTTAAATGGCTTTTCCAGTATCACTCAGCTTATAGATAGTAGAGCATGAACTTGTACCTCGTACATTACAAAACCAAAATCCATGCCCTTCACTTCTATAAAATAGTGTTTTGAATTATTAATTATCCTTCTTCCCCTGAGTGCGTCTTGTCATGTCAACTAGATAGCAAACTGCCTGGTGGCAGGGGAAAAGGTCTTCTATTATTTTTGCCTCCTTTTCACACAGGGCTACTTGCTGAGGCTCGGTTATTGAGCTTCTCCCTATGTTAATGAGGTGTCTGATGGCTTATCCTCAGCTTCCTCCCTGGGGAGGGGACTCCTCATTCCCTTCCCACAGGTAACTGTGAAGCCCAATGGGATCATGGCTGAGCTCATGTTTTGCATACTGTGAAGTGCTACTTGATGCGCAGCTCCTCTTTCCTGGAAAGAACATGATCTAGAATTAGAAGGTTGGGGTTCTAATATTGGCTCCCCAAGAAACTACATATACACCATTTCAAATCCCATCATTTGTAAATCAAGAAGCTTAAACCCTGTGATACCCATGGTCTTTGCTACCTCTAATATTCTTGGATTTTTATGACCCTCAATCAATGCCTTCAGATATATGTATTTTGTAAACTTTAGGAAAACCCAGATAAGCCCTCGAAGAGCAGGAAACTACCCAGTTATGAAGCCCAGCATGCTACTCGAGTTAACATAATCATCTTTGCTCTTCTCCGTTTTGGAGTCGGTCTGGTGGAGTGAAACGGAAAAGGACCTTGGAGTTCAACAGACTCATTAAAGCCAGGACAGCAATACTTATAACTCTCTGGGTATCCAGGGCAAGTTATTTTCCCTTTTATCTCAATAAAGGTCATTCTTCTTACCCCACCTCCCTCCCACTTTGCCATAAATATACTCCGGTAATATTCTGGAAATTATTTTAGCTTTTGTTAGGAAGAAGCAAATGTGCTAGTGGACAGGAGTAGCTAAAACCTCTGGCTATGTTGTGAGGCTGAGCCTGGAGTCAGTGAAGTGTGAGGAGAATGCTCTACAAATGTGTGGCCAAGCTTGCTTTGCATATTTCCCCCTGGAATTCAGAAGCTAGCCACCCGAGAACCCTTAAAACTAAACAAATAAACTAAATAAATTCACTCAAAGTATACTCAGAGTTTTCTTTAAATAAGGAGAAAACTGATTTTTTAAAACCATAAATGATCCTTGATGGTAAATTTAGATAAACTCAAAACTATTTAATATTTCGTATGCAAAAATCTGGCAAAGATTTGATGCTTTTGTGACTTTCTGAGTAGTTTGGGAGCAAGGCAAACCCATTTCCCAAATGCAGTTTCATAAATATTCAGGTGGTGGGTGATTGTAGTAAATATGGAGAATATGCAACATGTTATTACGCTTCTCAATCAAATATGCTAAATAGCTCTTTCATTCATTGTACTGAATAAAGAATTCCAGTGTGGCAAAATGATTTCTATAAAAGATTCATGTACGAAGTTTGAAAAGTAAATTTGATTAAAGAGAAAACCTAGCTCAAGCAATTCATTGAAAAAGTTGCTTTAAATATAGCGTGGAGAAAATATTCAAATATTAAGCTGCTTGGAATGTCTCGGTTTAATTGCCTCATTTGCATTCTGCTTAGGTATTCAATCGATCGTCATACTGACCTCGACAGGTTTTTCACTATTAATGCAGACGATGGTTTTATTAAAACTACGAAACCTTTGGATAGAGAGGAAACTGCCTGGCTCAACATATCGGTTTTTGCAGCAGAAATCCGTAAGTGTTCTCCTAAGGGTTTTGATTCTACTTTACCAAAGATTATTCCTTAAGACTATATATTCTGGAAAATGACAGACAGCTGAGATAGAATGAATTTTTTAGTCTTAAACATATTTTTCAATCTTTAAAATTTATTTTTGGTCATCTCTCTAGGAAGACATATAAGCAAATAGAGATATTTTCATTTTCTCTGGCAGAACTGGCAAGGGAGCTGATAACCCTCAGCAGCTTGAAACTCATAACCGTTACTGAAGGATTCCCCACTTTAGCCTGTTGCTCAGTTTTGTTTAAACCCAGAGCAGCAGAATCCTTAGAGCTGAGATTTGTGGGTTCTTGTTTACCTGTAGACCAATGGTTCTCAAAGTTGCTTGCATCGGAATATCATGGAAGGCTTGATATAACAAAGATTTCTGGATCCTACCCTCAGAGTCTCTGATTCAGTAGGTCTGGGGTCAGGCCTGAGAATTTTCATTTCCAACAAGTTCCCTGAGAGTTGTGATGCTCTGGGGACCCCACTTTAGGAACCACTGTTATGGACCACACTCTGGAGGGCCAGGCTCCATTATAAGCATTTAGAATTAAACCTCAGCATCAGAGTTACCAGAAAAGATGCGATTTAATTTACTAGTCTAATACTGACATTTATTCCAGGACACTTCCCTCACACTGGACCTAGCATACTTCAGGTTTTAGATGGCTTTTGTGCCAATGATGCCTTTCCCTGCACTGCCCGACTGAGTGGCTGTAGCTTACTCTTTCCTAAGAGTAACCTTGGACTAATGTGGATTCCTCCCTTGCATTGACTCTCTGAATTCTCTCCTTCCAGACAAAGTGCATCAGGAAGCCAAAGTCCCAGTGGCCATTAGGGTCCTTGATGTCAATGATAATGCTCCCAAGTTTGCTGCCCCTTATGAAGGCTTCATCTGTGAGAGTGATCAGACCAAGCCACTTTCTAACCAGGTAATGCTGCTTCCCCTCCCCTGGCTATGAGCAAGGCATTTGGAAACAGAGTTTGGTTTTGAGAACATCACCTGGAGATACATCCCATTGCCTAAGAAGGCTTCAGGGCCCTAGTTTAGCTCTGGAGCTATGCTCTCTAATTAAAACTGAGCTGCTTTGCCAGCCAGGAATTTTTGAACAAATGATGTGCCAATGTCAGCATGATTATTTATGGGCCACCTTTCTCTTTCAGCCAATTGTTACAATTAGTGCAGATGACAAGGATGACACGGCCAACGGACCAAGATTTATCTTCAGTCTACCCCCTGAAATCATTCACAATCCAAATTTCACAGTGAGAGACAACAGAGGTTCGTACCAAACTTCCTATGCATTCAGAGAAGTAGAAATGGAAAATTAATGGCATTTATACTGCAGAGCACAAGTATTTTCCCTAATCTTAATAATGCCTTTCTGTTGAAGAACAAACAAGAAATAATAATGTCACCTTTATTTTGAGACATGGGCTCATGTGGTGCATATGAATAAGTGAGTCTAATTTATTTCTCTTTTTTTTGTTGGCTTTGATATTCATGAAGCAGTGGGAAAACCAAGTGGGGAAGCTTACAGGGTCAATATGCAAACAACTTCATTTATCTTTTTTTTAAGAGCTTGATAAACCCTTGAGGAGAAGCATGACTTTATGAATATTGATATCAAGTAAAGCATTAAAAGAGATTAGTTCAACTTTGTAAGGCAATGTAATCTTTCAGCTGGCCTTCCCATCCAAGCCCAGTTTTAATGCAGTGTGGTTGGGCACAGAGCTTGATACCCAAAGGTGGGTGTGGAATTATTGCCTGAAGGACAGGAAGAAAGCATTGTTTGGCCACTGTAATCATGGCAAAATGTCATGTGATTGCTACTTATTGCATCAGTCAAGGAGGTTCTAGACTTACAAATTATTGGAAGTAGTTGTTTTTGTTGTATAGGCCCAAACAAATGCAGTCCCTTGACAAAGTTGGTGGCAGAATCAGGATCAAAAAGTAGGTTTCTTGACTCCTGTACATACTATTTTGGTCTGCACCTGTTCCTAGAAACCTGTGACAATGCAGGTCTGTAGAAACAGGAAGACAAATGTCATCATTCGACAAAGGAATAAAAGATAGTCCTCTTGAGTACATGTGTTTTCATTAGCCACATGCCAGCTATGTACCAGGTTATAGATTGATTGCTTTCCCAGTAACTGAGATCAGGCTTATAGGATCTTAAATTAATCTAATAATTATTATTTCTTTCCCCATCACTGTTACCACTATCATAAATACCAGTAGCTATATGTTCCAGACACCATACCAAGATCCTTCTCATACTCTATCCATTTAATTCTCTCAACACACTGTAGGTAAAGCATATTATTATCATTCCCATTTTGAAGGTGAGGAAAATGAGGCACAGAACCATCCAGTAACTTATTCAAAGTCAATCAGCCACATGGGAGTTAGATCTAGGTTTTAAACCCAGGCAGTCAGAGGCTAGAAGTTACAGCCTTAACTACCGTACCTTAGTAGGTTAATTATTAAAGCAGAGAAGTGTTCCCATTGCTTGTTGGATTTGGAAAGATATGATCTGACATACTTTATTATTATTTCTTGAACTGATTTGAGCGTTTAATTATGGCCCTTATAAATCAAGCACATATCAAATGAGTCTGTGGGGTACAATGTCTTAGATGCTATCGGACATTCTCTCCTGTTGCTTTGTTTTCTGCAGTGGACGTGTTCTTGAGAGCCTAGGTGTGAAGGACGTTATATGGAGACACGTGTTGTAGGAACCCTACAAAACAACCTATGATTCACTTTGTAAATGATTCCCATCATTTTGAAATAGAAACGTTATGTGGAGGTCTTTCATTTTATATTTAATCTAGGATTTTTCTTTTCCGTGTTGGCTTTGGTTGATATGCACCTGTGAGCACCTTAAGCCCCTTAAATGGTAATTCTGCACCAAGACAGATGAGTGGTACTCAATTAGGAGCACATGTACCTCCAGTGGTACACGTACATAATATGGGAATTTCTTTTCGTAAAGGTAGATTTCTCCAAAGCAGGGAGACTCTGGCATGTAGTGGGCATTTAATAAGCATTTCCTGAGCTGAATTGAACAAAGTGGTATAAACAGTGTTCTCATAATACTTTCTAAGATATGCATGCATCTTTGAGTTCATGAGAATCCCTGCCTCCACTCTTGGAAATTTCTTAATTCCTAAATTATTTCTGATCCCATCCTGGGTTGATGGATTGCTCCATTAGCATAGGCTTATGGCAGTTTTATGATGAAGAAGACATGAATACCAAAGAACGTCAGCACACGTTTAGTTTTACCAATAGTGGGGTGATTGACTCTGTTGTCCAGAAAACTCTGGTATTCTCACATACCTCTTATGCTGCCACCTCTTTTATTATATTTTCTCAGATATTTGTGGTCAAACTCTACCTGTGTGTTCATATAATCCTCAACTTACATTTGAGATGTATTCCCAGCAACATCCCTGTTTATCACTGGACACCTCCTGACACAGCAGGTGTTTCTAGGCTTTTCTTACTGTGCAAACTTCCCCTGCATCATTTGCCTTGTCTTCTTTCTTTTTATGTGTGCGATAATACTGAGTTGCTGTTAACTCTCTGAAAACATTACACTAAGACATATTGTTCTCTAGGGAGTTATAAGTATTTCACTTTGTTGCAATATTTGGGGATGCCATCTATATTTTTCAAGGAGATTGTATTGTCATGGATGAGCCAGCCTGCTACACAATCTATCTTCCCTGTCCTTTCCTATAAAAGACTATTCTTACATGGAGCTACCTCTTTTCCAGGGAATTGCTACTTTTTAAGAAAAATGACTTTATTAACTATGGCAAACAGCTAATGAAAACTCCAATGTTTAGAGCTATTACAAAACCTGAAAGCAAAAACAGTCCTATAATTATCATTTAATAGAGTTTCTTTCTACTAGCTCCTAAAAGTAATTACATATTGAAGTAATCCAAAAGGAGTAATCACATTCTCCATCCTATTAATAGCCTACTGAGTTACCAAATTTCTCGGCTGAGACTGTTTTCCATAGAAAACATGAGATAATGGTTTATATCATGCTGAGTAAAAGCCTCAGATTTCTTCCTCTTTGAGTGTTTGCTTCCATTATGCCGTGTAGGTAATCAGGATTGTGTTTGCCTAAACTCGGCATAAGCATTTGGCATATTTAGAAATATAACGGAAGCCATCTTAATACACACAAGCATTTTATTTCACTTTATCTTACTCCATCTACAGCCCGAGCTTCAAAGACAACTCAGCAGGCAGCAGGAAAGTAGAACACAGCCCATCTTGGGCTATTAATACCAAGAAGGGTGCTGTTGGGGCAGGTGAAGAGCTGATCCTTCCAGGTTTTGAGATGTATTTACTTTGAAAATATCAGACTTATGGCATCTCTAAAAACACAAGAAATGTGTAATGGATAAGAAAGTGCAAAGAAAAAAATAATGAACTAGCTCCTCTCATCTGGCTAGCTCTTCATTGGTTTATAAAACTTTCTCCTGGCGATTGTTTCACTTGATTCCTTAAACAGCCCCATGCGGTAGACACATTGGATATTTTTATCCCCATTTTCTAGATGAGAAAGGAATTTGAGACTATCAGAAGCTTCAGAGACTTGCCCAAAGTCATGCTGCCAATAAGTGAGATTAGACTAAAGAGTTTGAGTAGTTGGAGGGTTCCGTCTGATGTATCCAACACTATGTTATGACTACAAAGCTCATGTCTTTTCTAGTTAATTCTGTTTAAAAAATCTTTGTTTACCTCCTAGCAAATAATAATAATCTTCAAAGGAGGAAAAATCTGACATTCAGTTCAATTCATCAATCTAGGATTCAAGGGAGACTATGAACAGAGAAGGACAAACCATGCTTCAATTTCAATTTTCATCACAGCCGTAATAATTGTAGTAAAATATATTTGCAAAAGATTTTATAATTTTCTTTTACTGCATAATTAATAATATATATTCCCTGTAGGAAAATTAGAAAATACAAAATGCACAAATTAAATTAAAGATAATAAAATAACTTGATAACATACTATCCAGAAATAATCACTGCTGGTTTTTAGACCCTTCCAGACTTTTTCTTGGCCTCTATTTTGATCTTTAGAAAAGGCTATCAGAAAATACATGGCCATTTTTTTCCCTCTTAGTAATATGGGATGCACACTTTTCAGCATCAGTCTGCTCATGTCAACATTTTCCTCTAAATATCATCCTAACATCCACTACAAGGCTATCTGACATCAGTTGACTATTGTTGTGTAAGTGCATTGTTTTCAGACACCTTTGCCGAATCTCTATTTGAGGTTTAAGGATAAATTCCTAGAGTGGAATTACTGGCTCAAAATCTTTTGATAGTTAATTGACAAACTGCCCATCAGAAATATTTCGACCACCAAAAATATTTGCAGTACCATCAGTAAAATAGGTGAGGTCTTATTTCCTCACGTTCAAGCTGACTCTAGATGTTTTTATTCTTTTTAGATCATTGACAAATTGATAAGTGAAATATAATCACATTTTCAAATAGTTTCTTTCATTACTATTAAAGCTGAGATTTTTTAAATAAGTATTAATTTATTCTTCTTTTATTTATTTGTTTTGATGAGGGAGAGTGTCCCTGACATAACATCTGTGCCAATCTTGCTCTATTTTATACGTGAGGCGCCACCACAGCGTGGCTTGATGAGCAGTGCTAGGTCTGCTCTTGGGATCTGAACCAGTGAACCCTGGGCCGCCAAAGCACAGTGTGCAAATTTAACCACCATGCCACCGGGCCAGCCCCCATTTCATCTTCTTTGCTTTATAAATTGGCTGTTCATGTCCTTTACCCACTTTTTGAATTGTATATTCATCCATTTGCAATTGATTTGTAAAGTCTCTTCATCTGCTAAAGCTGTTAACCTTTGACCTATTGTACCTATTGTATAGAGTTCCTCAGTGTATCAACTTCCTTTCAGTTCTGATGATGCTGTGTTCTTAAGTACAGATGTTGCACTTTTTGTATCAGTTTTTCTCTGTTTACTATTATCCTTAGGAAGGCTCTCCTTATCCAAAATTAGTATCAATATTCACCTCTCTTTTCTTCCTTCTTATCTATCATGTTTCCCATTTCAACTGTTTCTCCATGTGAAATAAATATACAACCCCCATGCGTTGCCATTTCCTAAATATCATTTAAGAATAATCAGTCATTTCCAACTGCTTTGTTACACCATGTTTATATCATCTGCATTGCATACTCTACGATTTTGGGGGACTTTCAGTTTTT